AGACTCGCTTGAGCCCAGGAGTTGGAGGTTGCTGTGAGCTGAAATGCCACGGCACTCTACCCAGGGGGACAGCTTGAGGCTCTGTCTCAAAAAACAAACAAACAAACAAACAAACAAACAAAAAAACAGGTCACAGCAACCTCAAAATCTTGGGCTTAAGCGATTCTCTTGCCCCAGCCTCCCAGGTAGCTGGGACTACAGGTGCCCACCACAATGCCAGGCTACTTTTTAGAGACGGGTCTCAATTTTTGCTCTTGAACTTATGAGCTCAGGCAATCCACCCCTACCCCCTAACCCCCGCCTTGGCCTCCCAGAGTGCCAGGATTACAGGTGTGAGCCACCCTGCCTGGCCTCACAAGGCCTATCTTGAAATGGTTCCTTCTGACCTGATATGAGACAAATTTGTCACTAGAAAGAAAAATGACTATAATTGGTAATAAATTAAAAACTTTCAGTCCACAGTGGTATCAGCCCCCCCGCCCCCAAATAACAGGAAAAACCCTTCTTTGCCAACTTTCAGGAGACTGTTGAGGCAGTTCTTTACTCAATATTGAAAATTAAAGGAATGAGGCTTGGCGTCCATAGCTCAGTGAGTAGGACACCAGCCACATACAACAAAGCTGGCGGGTTTGAGCCCAGCTCTAGCCTGCTAAACAACAATGACAACTGCAACCAAAAAATAGCCAGGTGTTGTGTTGGGCGCCTGTAGTCCCAGCTGCTTGGGAGGCTGAGGCAAGAGAATGGCTTAAGCCCACGAGTTTGAGGTTGCTGTGAGCTGTGACACCACAGCACTCTAGCAAGGGCGACCCAGTGAGACTTTTGTCTCAAAAAAAAGAAAAGAAAAGGAAAGAAAATTAAAGGAATGAAATAAAGCATTTAAACTGCATCTTTAGAAGAATATTTGTTCACCCCTGCTTAGTAAGAAAATTCTCTTCCTTACAGAAAAACCCCAATAAAATAACTAATTTAAGCAAGCGTAATCATGGGGTCTAAAAACCACTAAGAAAAAAGACAGAAACAGGATATTTGCTTGGTGTCCAAGTATTATCCCAAGTTTACACATTAATCACAAACCTTACACCTTTACAGTAGATCAGGTGAATCACCACTTTTACCAAGTGGCCACACTTAGCATTATTAACAGGATGGCAATCTGACATTATGCACAACATCACCTATTAAATAATCTTACCAAAAAGTTTTACTTTAAGCTAATCAAGCCTTTCTTTAGACATAACTTCCAGTTAAAAGGAAATTCAGGGACAAAGAGGAATGAATGAGAATGAAATGACATTAGGAAGACAAAACAAGTCCAGAATGTGGGTAGTAAGACAACTAGTTTGGTCAATTAGGTGCCAGAAAAAGAAGGAATGGGTACCATTCTTTTTTTATAAAAGGGACTAAAGACTTAATCACCAAATGCAATGCAGGAATCTTGACTGATTGCAGCTAGTGGGGGAGTTTAAAAAGATTTTGAACATGAGCTGGAATTAGGAAATTTGAACATGGATTGGAATTATTTACTCTGACAGGTATTGATAATGACTCTGAAATTAGGAAGAGAATATCCTTATTTTCAGGAAATGCACCTCAAATATTTAAATGTTACTATGTTATTTTCAAATGGTTACACACAGAGAAAAGTTTAGTACTACAGTCAGAATAAAATTTTTCATAACAAAGTTAAAAAAACTCCCTCTGAGGAGAGGTATGGCAGAAAGCACACGTACACTGGAATTACATCTGGGTTCAAATCTAAACTCTAAGACAAATTAATAGCACTACGTTTCTATCTCATCTCTAAAATTTAAGAAATAATTCATCAAGTTGGTCTCAAAATTGAGTAAGATTACATATGTAAATGCTAAGTAGTAAATTTGTTTTTCATTATTAACAAATATGATCATCCTAAAATACAAGACTATAGAGGAAAACATGTTATAGTCACATTCTAAGATAAAACTAAGTATTACCAATTCACTGGAAGTCAATGTGAAGTGATGGGGAAAATGATTTATATAATTTGTTTATAAACTCAAAAATTCCAACTGAAACACTAGGCAAAAGGTTATCAAAATTATCATCTATCCAAACTCTCTTCCATCCATCAAATTGTGTAGTTTGCAGCTATTAGCCTATTTGCGAATAAAATACTAAGAAGGTAAGTGGAAGCTAAAGATAATTTTTTCCCCGACCGTAACAAATAATCTACCTACATGATGAAAAAGAAATTAAGGTTCTTCATTTGCATAAGTAGGTTCAAATAAAGCACAGTTATTGGGCTTTATTCTAAATTCTGCTAAGGTGTATGGAACTCACACGGATACAATTTCCTTTCATCAGGTCTAACGCCCATATAATTTCACTTGCAGGTAACCCCCTTTTCTGATTAGGTCAGTAGTAAAACTACCAGATACAAAATGATCCTCAGGTAGGAAAGAAAAAGAGATGTATATATATATATATATATATATATTTTTTTTTTTTTTTAATAAGTGCCATCGAGAGAGGGGAAAAAAAACAGGTCTCGGGCTCCCGGGTTCCGACCAGGTGGTAACACTTCCGAGTGCTTTGGGTTAGGGTGTTGGGCGATGGGCGTGCAAATCTCGGGCAGCACCCTGAAAGATCGGGGCAACTGCCCCTGGACTGCGGGGACCAAGGCCAGTCTCCTCCCTGAGGGATTAAATGCCACTGGAGGACCCCGTGGGGTGTCTCCCAGCGCAGATGGGGGTGACAGACCAGGCTTTCCTTTCCCTCCAGCGCCCAGGTAGGAGACGCGAGGTGTCAGTCCGCGGGCGGCGCGCAGAACCGGGCCATCCCCACGCTCGGGCTGGGCGGCCCGCGAGCCCTCCCCTCCCCTCCCTTCCCCATTACCTGCGGGCGGCGGTCGGGGCCCGGAGGCCTGCTGCTCCTCCTCCTCCTCCTCCCCGCCAGGCTCTCCACACCA